ACATGAATGTGAGAAAGATACATTGGATTGGTTACCTCCTGCATGACCCCACCTGGGGCCAGGGATTGAACCTGAAGGTACAGTACCCTTGAATAGGAATTGAACCTGAGACTCTTTGATCCACAGGCCGACACTCCAACCGCTGAGCAAAACTGGCCAGGGCTATCATGTTATTTTAATCTTTAATCTCAAGCATGTCCACAGCTTTTCTTTGCCTTTGATGATACTGACACTTTCTGAAGAACAGAGTCCCCCCATTTCATTTATTTAAACAGAATTTTCTTCATTTTGAGTTTGTCTGATGTTTTGTGTGATTAGGGTGAGTTTATACATTCTCAACTACATTGTATCTTTATCAAGGTATCACATCTGGAGGTGTACAATGTGTAAAAATCTTTTCAAAGAAGCTTGCCTATTCAGGGAAGCAGAGAGATAAGCTTGTAGGTATAAGGCAGTATTTATCAACTTTAGCTGCACATTAGAATAATTTGAGTAGCTTTTAATGCCAGTGTAAGGGCCCCTTCTCCAGAGGGGTTTAACTGGTCTCGGGTTTGGGCCAGACATCACCATTTTTTATTTTTATTTATTTTTATATTTTATATTTGTTTGTTTGTTTGTTTGTTTATTTATTTATTTATTTTTTGGTATGTGCCCCTAGCAGGAACCGAACCCGGGACTCTCTGGTCTGTAGGCTGACGCTCCAACCGCTGAGCCAAATTGGCCAGGGCTCAGCATTTTTTTAAAACTTCCTAAATATTACTAATGTGCAGCTAAGTTTGAGGAACTTTTCTGTAAGGGTTTGTGGGTGGTGATGGTAGTGATTTAACATGATAGAAGGTAAAGCATGTTTGAATGCTATTTGGAAATTCAGTATAATAAGCAAAAGGTTGAGGATTAAAGAAAAATATGAGGAGTTCTGAAGTCTTGTTTAATGTAAGTACAACTGTAGCAAAATAATAATATGGGATAATGATATCATATTTCACCCTCCAATAATGAGATTGAGTCATACATGTATAATATGACCACTTATATGTATTGTCTATGAAAGTCATATTTCCTTAGAAAATGTAAGAATCTGCCCAGCCAGTGTGGCTCTGTGGTTGAGCGTCGATCCATACACCAATTGATTGTCAGTTCGATTCCTGGTCAGGGCACATGCCCAGGTTGTGGGCCAAATTCCCAGTGGGGGCCATGCAGGAGGCGGCCAATTGATGTTCTCTCTCATCAATGTTTCTATCTCTCTCTCCCTATCCCTTCCTCTCTTTCTCAAATCAATAAAGAAAATGTAAGAATCCAAGTATACCAATAGTTTTTCATATTTTAACTAAGTTAATTAATATTTTACAGCAGAGATTATGATTATATTTTCTTATAGTAATTTGATCTGATTTATAGGAAAGTACAGTATATTATTATTTATGCCTAGATGAAGTAATGTAGGAATATGGTATCAAAAGTTTTTAACATCAAACTGATCAGGACTGCAAAAATATATGCTACACCTTGAAAGTAGATATTTTTTCTTTGTAAAGTAAGATATGATATTACTTACCAGATAAGACAGAAAATTTCAATGTTGAAAGTGGGAAGTAAAACCACTAACCACGAACAAGAACCACTACCATAATTTAGTATTATGCAATACATATTATTGTAGACAAAGTTGCAGAATATAAATGTGTTTCAGTTTTGAAGTCTGCACTGAGAAAATAGCAGGATCATATGAGCTAGTATGGTTCATAAAACCTTTGTTGCTATTGACTATGGAAAAGGAAGGAGATGAGCAAAATAAACCATGTAGAGAAACTGAAGTTTAAAAATAGAACGATTTCATAGATGAAGAAATAGAGTGGTAGCTAAAAGGAATAAGTTAACAAGTTAGTTCGGAAAGCTTTGACAGCCGAGAGAAAAATTACAAGGATAAATTCTCTAGGCAGAGAGGGAAAAGGTTGAAAAGACAAAAGATTGAGATTAGACTCTCAGCTACCCTCATCTTTACTATCACACAACTATACTTATGTCTAAACATCTCCTATATAACTTAAATTTTTTATTTGAGGTAACATTCACATACAATGAAGCCATTTAAAAAGGTATAATTCAGTACATTCACAATGCCATGAAACTACCGCCTACATCTAGTTCAAAAACATTTTCATTACTCCAAAAGAAAACCCCATATATATTAGTCCCTCCTTCTTTCCCCCTTTCCCCAGCTACTGGCAATCACCAGTCTGCTTTTTTTTTCTCTATGAACTTACTTATTCTGGATAGTTCATGTAAGTGGAGTTATACAATATATGACCTTTTGTGTCTGGCTTCTTTCACTTAGCATAAATTTTTTTGATTCACCCACTTTGTAGCACATATCAGTACTTTATTCCTTTTAGTGGCTGAATAATAGTCCATTGTATAGATATACCACATTTCTTTTTTTTTTCTTTATTCATTTTAGAGAGGAAGGGAGAGGGAGAGAGAGATGGAAACATCAATAAGAGAGAACATCAACTGGCCATCTCCTGCATGCCCCCCACCAAGGATCAGGCCCACAACCTGGGCATATGCCCCGATCGGGAATCAAACCAGTGACCTCTTGGTGCATGGGTCAATGCTCAAACACTATACCACATTTCTTTATACATTTCTATGGTGATAGATAGTTTTAGGTTTCCATCTTTTGGTTTTTATAACTAGTGCTGCTGTAAACATTCATGTATAAGTTTTTGTTTGACCATCTTTTAACTTTTGGGGGTATATACCTAGGAGTAGAATTGCTGGGTCATATGCTGATTCTATGTTTAACTTATTGAGGAATTTTCCACAGCAGCTGCACCATTTTACATTTTTTTCCAGCAGTGTATGAGGGTTCTACTTTCTCTGCATTCTCTATAACACTTGTTATTTTCTGCTTTTTTATTATAGCCATCAGATGTGAGTGCTATCTCGTGGCTTTGATTTGCATTTCTCTAGTGACTAATGATGTTGAGCATCATTTCATATACTTATTAATAGCTATTAGCACATCTTCTTTGGAGAAATGTCTATTTAAGTCCTTTACCCATTTCATAATTGGGTTGTTTGTCTTGTTGTTGAGTTGTATGAGTTGTTTATATATTCTGAATACTAGATCCTTATCAGATATATGATTTGCAATATTTTCTCACTTCCTATATTAACATTCCTACCTGTGTCCTAGAAGTCATTTTTTTCTTCTGGAAGATCTTGACAATAAATGCATTACTAACTATGCCCATGTCATTTAGTCCTTCCTTAGGACCTTCAAAAAATGCTCATTATAGAAAACCATTGATGATTCTTAAACTAGGTGCTGGGTGCATGGCTGTGCATTTTTTAATATTGATTTTAGAGAGAGGAAGGGAAAGGGAGAGGGAGAGAGAGGGTTTTATTGTTTTACTTATCTATGCACTCATAGGTTGCTCCTTGTATGTACCCTAATCAGGGATTGAACCTGCAACCTTGGTGTATCTGGATGATGCTCTAACCAAATAAGCTACCCAGCCAGAGCTGGATGTCCATTTCTTAAGACATATAGCCCTGGCTGGTTTGGCTCAGCAGTTAGAGCATTGGCCCACAGACCGGAGAGTCCCGGGTTCCCGGGTTCGGTTCCGCTAAGGGCACGTACCTTGGTTGCAGTTTGTCCCTGGCCCCAGTGGGATCGTGTGGGTGGCAACAACTCTATGTGTATCTCTCACATCGATGTTTCTTTCTCTCTCTCTCTTCCTCCCTCTCTCCCTCCCATTCTATCTGAAGATCAATGCAAAAATATCCTCAAGTGAGGATTTTTTAAAAAGACATATATATTATCACTCATATATAGGTTATATTTACTCTTTTGTGTATATATATATATATATATATACTTAAAAAAATTTTTTAGGGTTGACAATGCTGCTTCCTCTACTACTTCATTGTCTTGTTTCTGCCTTCTTTTATTGACATACATCTAGAATGAGTGGCCTATATTTGCTGCTTCATTTTATCCACAAGTAGTGCCTCTTTAATCCTTTGCATTACTTCTTTGTCTATCCTGAAATAATGACACTTTTGAGTCTCTGCCCCACCTCCATCTTTATTCTTTCTTCCCAGGTGATGTCATTCATTATGCAGATGACTCTTCCATTTGCATCTCCATCTAAGTTCTAACCCAAGTTTTAGACCTCTAGCTATATGCCAGATAGTCCAAGTCTTTTACTTCACCAGATATATTTCCTCTATTAATCAAGTTTTCCCAATCCCTATTTCTTCAAACCATGTCAGTTTCAATCTCAAGAGTTTTGTAGTAATTGCTCTTCAATCATTCCTTATAAGCGATGTTATCACGTTTTGTGATTTCCACTTTAAACCCACTTCATTTCCACTCAGTGGTTATCATCGTGTTTTAATCCATTTTCACAGTGTGCTAGAATTATTTCAATAGCCCCTCTCTGCCTGACTCTACTTCCTCTCCCCTCTTGAGTATAAAGGAAATCTTTAAGAAGAACGTGGTGAAGTGTGGTGCTAGATAAGAAAGATAACTTTAGTAGTGTTTTGGAAGATGAAGTGGAGAAGAGAGGGTGTTGACATGAGGAGATGAAGCCCTAAATTATGGCAACGGTGATGGAGAAGATGGATGTAGAAGGGTAATTAGAGCTGGAAGGACTTAACATCTAACATCCTCCATCCTACTCCTATAAATTAAGTGCGCCAAGTGAATTTTTGCTAAGTGAGCCATCCCATGCTTCTGTAAGAACTGTCATGCTCATAATGGACCAACCAACCTCCACCATCCAGATGGCGGATCCCAGATTGGCTGCCTAAATGTTATGGAGAGGGTCCCTCTAGCTGGCGTCTCTATGGTTCGCGGAATCTCCGGTCCGGGCTTGACCGGTCCAGCTTTTGCGCGTGCGCAAACCCAGGCACTGGCCCGCCCTCCTGCAACTGCCCGAACCCCCGTGGGAGGGGAGGGTTTGGGAAGGTTGCTGCGGCGGCCGGCGGCCCTAGCACCTAGGGCTATTCCCGGGTCGAGCCTGCGCCGGGGAGTCTTCTGTCGCCTCCTCGGGCGGCACTCACCCGGCCCAGATGGTGGGTCCGGAGGATGCCGGAGCCTGCACGGGAAGAAACCCCAACTTGCTCCCTGTGCCAGCGCCTGAGTCGGCGGGCCAGGACGGGAAGATGATACGGGCCACGGGCAGCTTTGGCGGAGGCGTCGGCGCTGTGGAGCCGCCGGAGGAGGAGGGGGAAGAGGAGGAGGAGACGCCGCCTCAGCAGCTCCTTCAGCGTTACCTCGCGGCGGCCGGGAGGCAAGTGGAGCCTGGGCTGTGCTACCGTCCGCTCGCCGCCGGCCAGTCCAGCACTCCGCCCTCGGCAGCCCCGCGCTCGGACACCTGCCCGCCGGACCCGGGTTCCAAGCACCGAGGCGCGGAGGCGGCGGATGCCGGCACGCCGCGATACGGAGGCATGACCAACGGGGACTCGGGATTTCTGCCGGGCCAGGACTGTCGCAACCTGGAGGAGGCTCACGGGCTGGCTCGCGCTAGCGGCCGGGACCCACGCCACCGCCACCGCCGCCTCCGCCCGGAGGGGCCTGGCGACGAGGGCGCGGACGGCGCGGGCAGCCGGTCCGACTGGGCCGCACCGCTCGAGGACCCGCTGCGGAGCTGCTGCCTGGCGGCGGCGGACACAGAAGAGCCCGAGGGCGCGGGCAGCGGCGTGGGGGGCAGCACAGCCAGCGGTGGCAGCAGCAGCAAGGACTTGGAGCAGCTGGGAGCCGGTGCCGGGGGTCCCCAGGAAGGCACATCCCCCGACACCTTGGCCGAGAGGACTAGCGGGGGCGCAGGCGCCGAGTCGCGCCTCGGCTTCTCCGACGTTCACTTGAACTCTCGGAACACGTTCGAGGTGAGCCGTCGCCAGAGCGCCGGCGACCACCTGCCCCCGGCAGGGCCGCCGGTGCCCTCGTCCGCCGCGGAGCAGGGCCCCGCGGGGACCTCGGCCCGGGCTCGACGAAGCGGTGGCTTCGCCGACTTCTTCGCCAGGTACAGCGCAGGCTTCTCGGGGGCTCGGGGTGGGTTCGGGCCGAGGCCGGGTGCCAGCCGAGAGCGGCTGGGGGGACCGCCTCCTCGCGGGCTCTTGCTGGCGTCTTGACTTAGCTTTGATTTGTCACCGGGGGAAGAGGAACTGGGTCTGCATTGTGCTGTCTGTGGAAGTTTGAGCTCTGTGGGGAGCGAATCTCTGTTCCTTTGTCGGCTGGAGGGTATACTCACCTGGTTTCTGTGTATTCAGGTCCTGCCAACCTGGTAGTATGTCCTGTCTGCAGTTTTGCCTCTTCTGGGAAGGCAGCCTGCTTCGTCCCCAATTTTTAAAAATTGTACTACAAGGATTGGGGCGGGGAGGGTGGTGGTGTGTGTAGGGTTGTGGTTGTGAAAGAGAAAGGGAAGTCGTTTTTCAGAGCTGTCTGCATGGAGTCAAATCCATTCAAATTATTTGGGAATTCTTGAAAATAGACGAGGTTGAACTTCAGTGTCCCCCCCCCCCCGCCCCCCGTGGCCTTTATTTAATTGTATTGGTGTTTAGAATTTGATCCCAGCCTTTAAAACCAAATTATGATGGCAGTTTATCTGGAAAATCCCTCTTATCTCCTTCTGCCAGATAGGCCTCCACTTTTTTCAGCATTATTTATATCATTTGACCTCTATTCTTGAAACTAAATTATGGTGTTGGACATTGCAAATGTCAGAATGGGGCTTTGTTGGTTTGTCAGGAATGATTCAGTAGTCAAAAAATACTCCTCTTAATGCACATTAATGAAAAGCAAAAGCAATCTCCCTTGAGTCAGATTTTGACCCGCTTAAAAAAAATCTATAAGCAAATAGGAAATTGTTCCCAACTTGTAAAACCCTGCCTTTCAGAGTTCTCTCGCCTGTGTTATTGTTAGTTTTTCAGGTATCTTCACAAAAACCAGAAATGAATTCTGCCCAAGCCGGTGCACTCAGTGGTTAGAGTGCCAGCTGGTGCACGGAAGGGTAGGGGGTTTGATTCCTGGTCAAGGGCAAATACTTGGGTTGCAGGTTGGATCCAGTTGGTCAGGGTGTGTATGGGAGGCAACCAATCAGTGTGTCTCTATCACATTGATGTTTTCTCTCTCTCTCTCTCTCTCTCTCTCTCTCAGATTAACAAAAAAAAGAAAAAAATTCTACAGCTCAAATTATAGAGGATTATACAACTAGTGTGCATTATAAACACACAGTCACAATTATCTGATTGTAATTAATATTTCTTATTCTTTTTTCCACTTTATTATCCCTTTTCTGTCTTGTATAAATTTACAGATAAATTATAAGGTTGTTTAAATCAAGATTGATAAATCCTAATTTTGTGTTACTTGCAGAACAAAATATATAGAGTAGTAAGACCTACATTTGTGCCTGTAGTTGCAAAAATATACTTAAAGCTTGTAGTGGCAGTATTTTTAAAGCTTTCAAGGTAACTTAAGTGTATATATTTGTAATCTTGTGTGGCCTTTAGGTATTTATTGGTCATATTTTGATGTCAGGTGTCAAATAATTTTAGACCTGGGCGGGGCTTTGGAGATCACTAATTCAACCAGTGTATGGAGAGTACTTGCTGTGTGCCAGCCATTGGGAATAGAGATGTTTTGGACAATGGTCATTGTCTTTAACTTGGAAGTGGAGGATGGGCTAGTGGGGGTTATATATATGCATTGCAATTTATGAATAATAAGGCAAATCTATTATAAGAGGCTTTCATTATTAAGTGTTGGCAGGAATTCTGATAGAATTTTTAAATTTTTCTTTATCCTGTAGGTTAATAGGACTGTAATTAATGCAGGTATTTGACATTCATATAACCACACTAATCGTGTGTATCAAATCACTGGGTTTGAAGTTAGAAAACTTAGGTACTCTGAAGTTAATTTCATTAAGTCTCATTTTTCTTAATTGAGATCTGAATGTAAAGATTTTAGGTGTCATTGCTTTCTTTATATAACATTGATAGGAAAGGACAGAGTCAGACAGGCACAGTTTTTTCCTTAGCATTTAGCCAAAACCTTAACTGGACTTTGAGTCTTAAAGGCAGAGATTATGGCATTCATCTCTGAAACTTTTAATATCTAATGCTTGTATAAAGAACCCCACTTGGGTTATGTTGAATTGGTAACTTGCAGGGACTCTGCCTCTACTGTTCTCTAGATGGTAATTTGTACCTAGTAATTTTGAACAGTCTTCCATCCCCAGGCAAAATAATGAGAAATGTTCCTTGCTCCAGCTGCCTAAGAGGTTTTTTTTTTTTCTTCCTGTGCACAGTTGCCATTCTCAAATCTGAAGCTCTGAGCCAGGGCTCCCTTTGGGGATACCTAGTTCTAGGATGTATTCTTATTCTTGTGTGCAACCGCTACACCTACTTCATTTTTTGATGCGGAAGTTCACTGTCTAAAGAAGGTAGTTTAGTCCAGCTGGTGTGGCTCAGTGGATTGAGCATTGTTCCATGTACCAAGAGGTCACTGGTTGGATTCCTGGTCAGGACACACATCAAGGTTGTGGGCTTGATCCTAGGTAGGAGGCATTCAGGAAGCAGTCAATTGATGTTTGTCTCTCATTGATATTTCTTTTTCTCCTTCTCCCTTCCTATCTCTCTAAAAATCAATAAAAACATATTTAAAAAAGTAAAGTAGGTAGTTTAGTTAGCTAATGGCAAACTGGGATTAGAAACCAGGATTCCTAATTTTCAGTCCTGGTTTACATTCCATCACAATTACTGTTCACCTGTGGCTCTTTTCTCTCCCACCTGATTATCCTCCATCTTTTCCTTCTTCCTGCTTACTGTCTTTCCCTTCCCTGGGCAAAAATCTATAACAGAAATACTTCTAAAGATTAGCTTCAGGTTTGTTTTGCCTTAAGTAAAGAGAGGGGAACATTTTACAGCAATTTATCTATTCCTATATAGTTGTGTTCAGTTAAGATACATTATTGGCAGGAGCTCCATTGATTGGGGTAGAAGCCTAATGGGAAGGAAAGGAATTTGGTCCAGGATGGGACTGCTGTCATGATCACCTGCTTTCTCTCCCTACCAAATGAGGTGAATTGTAGTTCTGTCCCTGTTGGGAGCTTGCCTCAGCTTCACAGGGGCATCTCTGTGTTTATGGTGATTGGACGATGATGGGAGCCCTAGAGGTAACATTCCCTTGGATCTTTAGCCCTTTCCTGTCTAGAAAGGTTTTATTGTGTGTTTTTATTTTATTTTATTTTATTTTAAATCCTCACCAGAGGATATTTTTCCCATTGATTTTTAGAGAGAGTGGAAAGAAGAGAGGTTGGGGGGGGGGGACATCCATGTGAGAGAGACATCAATTGGTTGCCTCCTGCACACATGATGAACAGTGCTGGGGATCAAACCTGCAATCCCAGGTGCATGCCTTTGACTGGGAATCAAACCCCAGACCCTTTGGTCAGAGCGCCAACACTCTAACCACTGAACCACACAGGCCAGGGCTCTATAAAAGTTTTAAAATGCTGGGTGGGGTCTGGCCGGTGTGGCTCAGCAGTTGAGCATCGATCTATGCACCAAGAGGTCACCGGTTCGATTCCCGGTCAGGACACATGCCCAGGTTATGGGCCCAATCCCCAGTGGGGGTCACGCAGGAGGCGGCCAATAGATGTTCTCTCTCTCATCGATGTTTCTCTCTCTCCTTCTCACTTCCTCTCTCTATAATATTAATAAAGAAAATAAATAAATAAATAAAATGCTTGGTGGGTACTACTACCCCCACTGTCACCAATTCACCTGGCTGGTATGGCTCAGTGGATTGAGCATTGTTACATGGACTGAGGGTCCTGGTTTGATTCCTGGTCAGGGCACATGCCCAAGTTTGTGGGCTCAATCCCCAGTGAGGGGCGTGCAGGAGGCAGCTCATCAATGTTTCTTTCTCACATTGATGTTTCTATCTCTCTCTCCCTTCCTTTCCATGTTTAAAAAAAAAAATCAATAAAAACATTAAAATAATAAAAATAAGGTAGCTTTAAACCATTTTTATGGGTCCTTCAAGCAAATTTATGTCTTAATTGTTTTTAAACTAGAATGGTTTATTGTTTTAGGTAGATTTACTCTTTATAGATATATTTTATTAAGCTATTTATTACTTTTGAGGCTTGTTCAGACTGCACTGGTATCATTACTTTATTTAGAAACCCATAAGTATCTATCTGTGTTTCCTGGTAGTTCTTTATTCTTCCCAATAGGAAAATTGTTAAGACTATATATTTTTGTGAACTATGATATTGAGAATTTAAAATTTCTACAGTTACAATTTTTCTTAATTTAAGGTTCTCAGAAACAACAAAATCAACCTTCTTTTTAACTCCAGAATTTGTGGTAGTTGACAAAAATCTTAATTCACTTGAATGAGCCATTATAGATCTTGCTGTTAGATAGGACTTTCTTACTTTTTCCTAAAATAAAAACTATAGTTCTAAAACCAGCTTCTTAGGGGAAAAAAAAAAAATCCTTCTTCAACATCTTGATTAAGTAAAGGCGCATAATGTCAAAAGATTTTTATAGTTCCCCAAAGCAAGCAGTTTTTCTTTTCTTTTTTTAATGTTTTTAATGATTGTTAGAGAAACAGTGATGAGAGAGAAACATCATCCATCAGCTCCTTCCTGCACACCCCCTACTGGGGACACAACCCAGGCATGTGCCCTGACAGGGAATCAAACCAGTACCTCTTGGTACATGGGTTGACATTCAACCACTGAGCCACATTGGCCGGCAGCAAGCAATTTTTCTAATACACATGTGGTATAATTATAAGAAGAATGAAGAATTATCTTGATCTAAATATTAAATATGTTACTACAAGATATAAAAATAAATGCAAAAGTATTCATTTCTATGTCACTAATGGAACTTCTTTGAACATTACTTATATATTAATAAAGTAAAATACTTTAAAATTTTTGAAAAGCTATATAAAATGTGTAATTAATTGCTCTGGAATAAAAAATAAGAGTCTATAAAGATT